TCTCAGAAATTCTTGTAGCTCCTGGAATCGAACCCTGGACCTTTGGGTCTGTAGCCAGGAACTCAGACCACTAGACCACAGAGGCAGTCTTGTCTACCAGGAGAATGCAATACAGGAAAGACGCTGATGTATGTTGTTATCCCGTGCAGGGTTCGAAGTTAGGCTCCCTGCATACCAGCTGTCCAAACCTGTACGCGCTACACATCTGATACTGAAACACTTACTACTAAAAATCATGATTTCGCACTGTGTCACTTGCCAGTCCTCTCAGTGACGGTTCCGAGCCATATATATGTTTCTCCTTAGCTGACTAAACAACGCTTTTTCAGCTGAATAGGTTATGTGGGTGATGGGTCAGGATAGCTCAGTCGGTATAGTGTTGGGGAGTTCGACTCCCGGAAGGTGCAAGACATTTTTCTTTTCTCCACAGTGTCCAGACTAGCCCTGGAGCTAAACTAGCCCCTTATTCAGTGGATACAGGGGGAAAGCGGCCGGAGCGTGAAGCTGACCGCTCACCTCCATCTAGTGTCGAGGTCACACGTCTTCATGTTTGTGTCCTTAATGAATAAAGCACAGGGTTAATTTTACCTGTTTAGATTACGTGAGAGAATGACAATGAAAGATTAACTGCAGAATATTTGGAGGGAAGCGCCGTTGATGGGGTTTAATGTAAGTATTAGCACAGTATCTGCTTGGACACACTCTGGGGGAGTGGAGAGAACACGAGTACTTAGGATAACCAGTCTACTGGGAGATAATCGGTCCCAGAACATCCTGAAAACGAAGCAGGACTCCCAATATTGATCGTCATTTCTAGAAGGCGCTATTTTATTCCGGAATTACTGAGCCACAAAAGAAGTTGACGAAGTGGAGGCGGTTTAGGTCTGAACTTGTAATTATCTGAAAGTTAAACAAACGGTTGCCAAGCAATAAGTTTCCATAATGACGTAGAAAGAAAATTATGTAAGACTTATTGGAAATTGTCATACCTGAGAGCATGCTCAAAGTTCCGCGACACTGGAGAAAATATCCATTCAGTACTGGTGGCTATGAGGTTCAATATGACCAAAGTGGCATGCAGGGTCATTGACATGGCACAACTGAACCCATATTCATCACTAAGCAGGAACAGAAATTTCCGGGAAGAGCTCAGGGACGTATTTTCCTGTAACTTCTTCCATTTGCAGGGAGAGGATAGCAGACATTAGACAGGGTTATTCCAAATGATTCATTCCATTTCAAAACATTGTATTTTCCAAAGTATTATACATATNTCGTGAAGTTATTTGTCGCGATATACGCCCAATACGCGACAGTATTATACATACAACTATGATTGATATATGAAAAGAACCGCAAACTCGCCAAGTTTGTATCGTGATACACCAGTTGGCGCTGCCAACAACACTGGTAGAGCTCAAGGAACGCATTAATGCTGCTCCGATGACCATTGGTAAGGGAGTGCTACAAAATGTTTGGACCGAACTCGACTACCGTTTGGACGCCTGTCGTGTGACCAACGGGGCATACATAAAACATTTATAATTTGATGAATTTAAGGTTCTTTTCATGTATCAATCATGTTTGTATGTATATTACTTTGGAAAATATAGTGTTTTGAAATAGAATGAATCATTTGTAGTAACCCTGTATATTGACAATTTAAAATTAGGTTAATAGCCAATTTTCTTGTTTCATTTCCGTTAGTATATAAATTCTCAATACGTTATAGTTGTCGGATATATCGCCAGAGTTCGCACCGTTACAGTATCTTTGTTTATATGGTTTAGAAAGAAAAATGTTCGGAGCTGCGTATATCTGTCCGTTAGCTCATTCATCTACCGTTTCATGATAAAATTACAGACATTAACGTATAACTACTAAGGGACCGATTATTGTTAAGTCTGTCTGGAGATAATACCGTTGGATACTTTCCCATAACCGTGTATTTCAACTTTCTGGGACCAGGAGAATAAACAAGACCGTTATATGGGCAAGTGAGATGTGGTAGGAACACTAGCGAGGCTAGACGTAGACTGTACTATTTACGATAATTAGTTGGTTAGTTAAGGTGATAAATTACGGAAAAAATATACGAGTGGTTTGAAATGAAATAGGTCCAGGCCTTGATATGTGACCGCTGGACAAGGACAACGGAAACTATTAACTAATTTTGTTTCACTGAGATTGTATCGGGGAAGAACTGCTCTCTGAAACACGGCTGAAGGCCACGCTTCAGGAGATGAGAAAAGAGCAGAGAAAGAAATACTCCTTGCAACATTAACTCTCCGGTATACATGCAAGGTCTTCGGTGAAGATGTAATATTGAAGTAACATTTTGCATAGTGTGGCTTCTCGTTAAAACATATAACATTTCAACAGCTGACTGTGCTTCCTTCATCAGGCAAAAGTACAAAGACTACTCTGTAGGGTCCATTGGATCTAGCTACTCTCCTTCCCCTGATGGATTACCTGATGATGGAAGCAGAGCCAGCAAGTCTTTCATTGCTCGCTATCCTGAACAAGGTCCAGACCCCTTCCATTTCCACGAAAACCTTACGAGACTTCTCCAAATAAATTCAATTATAATGTAAATTACGTAAGTAAAGTTGTCCTTGTGCTTAACTAATTAAGCACTACGCCATGAAGATGTATCGGGAAGTGGATGTATAGATTCACATTTTATATCTCGGCACTAATTCGAAGTGAGTGGTCAGCTTCAAGGTCCCGCCGCAAAATTCCCAGGAAAAAAGTCCCCCGTACTAATTGGATAGGAGGTTGGGTGGACCCCAGAGCCGGTTTGGACGACAGGAGAAGAGAAAATTCTTGACACTATCTTGACTCGAAGCCCAACCTCTCGATCTTCCAGCCCGTAACCAGTCGCTATATCCTGGATCCTAATGTTATAACGGTGTGTGTGTGTGAAAATCCTTAATCTGATTAACCACTGTTTCTGGTCTTCCACCCCCTTCCTTCCTTCTTCATTGGCTTTGGTTCATATTCGCATTAGAAATGAAAATAAAAATCGGTAAACTTGAGAAGGGCCGGTCACGGTAGCCGAGTGGTCTAAAGCATGCACTGTCTTCGCTCGCTCGGAAGCCGGGATTGTGGGTTCGAATCCCACTCAGGGTATGGACCTTTGTGTGCGTTTTT